CGTTGTCCACAATTTCTTGTGAACGCTATAACGCCAAAAGTTATCATCCAATTGTTTTAAAATTGATATATGTTGTTTACATTAGTGAGATGAAGAAGCCTATTGAATTTCAATAATTTCCGTTTATTACGTCCAGAGTTGTGGCCCTTGTTTCACTTTATTGAACCTTGTGAACGTTATAACTCCAAAAGTTATCATCCGATCTTTCTGAAATTTACATGCATTCAGAAATTTATATGCATTATTTAGGTTACTGAAACGAAGAAGCCTATTGAATTTCAACAATTTCCGTTTATTACGTCTAGAGTTATGGCCCTTGTTACACTTAATTGATCCTTGTGAACGCTCTGACATCAAAAGTTATCATTCGATCTTTCTGAAAATTATATGCATTATTTAAATTAGTGAGACAAAGAATCCTATTGAATTTCAGCAATTTCCGTTTATTACGTCTAGAGTTATGGCCCTTGTTTTACTTTATTGAACCTTGTGAACGTTATAACTCCAAAATTTACATGCATTATTTAAATAGGTGAAACGAAGAAGCCTATTGAATTTCAGCAATTTACGTTTATTATGTCTAGAGTTATGGCCCTTGTTTCACTTTATTGAACCTTGTGAACGCTCCTACGCCAAAAGTTATCATTCGATCTTTGTGAAATTTATATGCATTATTTAGATTAGTGAAACTGAGAAGCCTATTGAATTTCAGCAATTTCCATTTATTACGTCTAGATTTATGGCCCTTGTTTCACTTTATTGATCCTTGTGAACGCTCTAACGCTCGGACGATTTAGCTGCTGTGGGCGTATGTTTTGTTGCCTGGCAACCTATCTTAAAATTATGATATCAACAAATAGAATAAACCCAGACGATCATACAGATACCACAAAATAGTTCCTAACCTGAACGATTTTCTACAAGTCACTTTTCATGGCTTTTGGTCCATAAAAGTGTCAATTATTATCCGATTTCCATAAAAATTTTCCCCATGTGATACCTTATGCCATTTATGATTTCATAGAACTAATTTAACATTTTCATTATCCCGGGAAGTAATGTCATTTTGGCAAAAAATGTATTCTTAGCGTTCAGAACAATTTTTTGAAGTGAGTTATATTTATTATTCGTTTAACATTATGATATTTGACTCCAATGGACATATAGATTGAATCAATACGATCATATAGATGTCCAAAAATTGCTTCTAGCATCTTCCCTTGTCGAGAAATAACCAATTTTCTCAGGATCACTTTTTGACACATATAACACATGGTAACAAATGTATAAATAGAATTGATATTGCTGGATTTGGTTGATTCTTCCATTTTATAACACGTCTGCAATGTTTATGTGGAAATCTGTTTATCGGTTCCGTTGGTACTGGAAGTCTATGAGTTCAAGGGTAACGTGGCACTGAAAGTGACATACGTTCAAGGATAACGTGGGACCGGTGAAACCCGTCATTACTGCTTCGCAATTCTAGTTTATTATTTAATTGTCTGCGTTTTTTAAAACCAGAGAGTTATCCAGTTCTATACTTCCATTCTCACTATTTAGAATAATTGGAAAAACATAACAGTTTTTGCATTTCATTTCCTAGGAATGCGTGATTCGTCGCATAGTTTTTCCATGTCTCTTTAGGGCAAGCAGAGATAAGCAATTTGATTGGTTTATTGGTCATAATGTGGCCCAAAATATGACGTTTGTCACCAGTCTTGAGCCAAGTTTGTTCAACTTTTGTTACTTTTAAGTGATATTTTTGGCTTCCTGACTTGATTAGCTAGCTTTTAGGCTTTTTTACAGCTATGGACATTAAGTTTTGTATATGATCACAAATTAGTGCTAATTAATAAGCTCTTAATTAGCATTAGTGCAACATTTTATGTTCTTAAGCAGTCATTTTGTGCACTGAAACTCATAGAAATGGTGTTAGAAAGAAAAGTTATCCCTGACAAGATAATTTAATCAAATCCCCTCAAACATCATTATGTGACCCAAAATTTGACCTTTGACCCTTGAGTCTTAAGCAAGGGTTGTTCAACTTTTGTCGCTCTTTAAGTGATATTTTTGTCCCCCGTCATTTGAAGAAAGCAGGGGACTATTAAAATGGGTTTGTCTATCTGTCCGTCCGTTTGTCTGTGGGGAGTTGGATGCTCGAATGGTTAGCACGCGTGTGCTGTATCATAAGGCCTGTCATTGGTGTGGTTTCGAATCCCCGGTTGTACGTGACAAGGAGTAGGGTTGGCTGTCTAACCTTGTGGGTCCTCCGGTTTCCTCCCACTGCTAAAGACCCATGTTAGTCCCGAAATGACCTAGTTTGTGTTGTGGAAGTTAAATCCCATTTCTCTCTCTCCCCCGTCTCTCTGTCGGCCACATTTTTTGGGACACAATAATTCTCTTTCTAATTGAGCTATAGAATGTTCAAACTTGGTGTAAGTGTTTATTAGGTCAATGCCTTGATGGAGTTCGAAGATGGGCATTTTCTGCTTAGGGTAAGCAGAGATAAGCAATTTGATTGATTGATGCTTTGGGACACGATAACTTTAGTTTTAATTAAGTGAGTGTGATGAAACCTGGTGTATAGTTTACATTACATCATTACTTGACTAAGTTCGATAATGAGCATTTTCTGCTCAGGGTAAGCAGAGCGATAAGCAATTTGATTGGCTGAGATTTTGGGACACGATAACTTTAGTTCAAATTAAGTGAGAGTGATAAAATTTTGTGTATAGTTTTATTACATCAATACCTTGACTAAGTTCAATAATGAGCATTTTCTGCTCAGGGTAAGCAGAGTGATAAGCAATTTGATTGGTCGAGACTTTGGAACACAAAACTTTCATTCTAATTGAGACAGAGTGTTCACACTTGGCGTAGCCGTTTATTAGGTGAATGCCTTGATGGAGTTAGAAGATGAGAATTTTCTGCTTAGGGTAAGCAGAGATAAATAATTTGATTGGTTGATGCTTTGGGACACGATAACTTAGGTCTAATTAAGTGGGAGTGATGACACTTGGTGTATGGTTTTATCACATCAATACCTTGACTAAGTTCCATAACAAGCATTTTCTGCTTAGGGTAAGCAGAGTGATAAGCAATTTGATTGGTCGAGAATCTGAAACACAATAACTCTCCTTCTAATTGAGGTAGAATGTTCAAACTTGGTGTAGTTAGTGAATGCCATGATGGAGTTCGATGATCAACATTGTCTGCTTAAGGTAAGCAGAGATAAGCAATCTGATTGGTTTGATGCTTTGGGGCCAATAACTTTGGTTTTAATTAAGCGAGAGTGATGAAACTCCGAGTATAGATTTTTTATATCATTACCTTGACTAAGTTTGATGATGAGACTTTTCTGCTTGGGCTAAGAATCGATAAGCAATTTGATTGGTCAAGACTTTGGAACATAATAACTCTACTTTTAATTGAGGTAGAATGTTTAAACTTGATGTAGATCTTCATTAGGTGAATGTCTTGACTGGGTTCAATGATTAGCATTTTGAGCTAAAGGTAAACAGAGGTGAGCAATTTCATTGGTTGATGCTTTGGAACAAGATAACTTTGATTCTATCTGATAGAGAGTGATGAAACTTAGTGTATAGTTGATAATCAATTTGATTGCTTGATACTTTTGAAAAAAAATAAATGTGCGATTAATTAATATGTGTCATCTATTTATTTTGGGATTTCGGCGGGGACATCAGCCTCACTGTTGGCTTGTTGGTTTCATGACTTGGTTAGCTAGCTCTTGGTTTCATGACTTGGTTAGCTAGCTTTTGGTTTCATGACTTGGTTAGCTAGCTTTGTTTCAGTAGTGGATATTTTTGGTTTCCTGACCTGTTTAGCTAGCTTTTAGGCTTTGTTTCAGTAATGGATCCTGAATTTTAATTACAGTCACTAATTCTCCCATCAAAAGGCAAAAACTAGTAACTCACTTTTTTCTTATTTTGGAAAAACAAAGGAAAACGTAATGAATGAATATTAAACCCCAGCTCATCCATTGATTTGACTATTGAGTTACTAGGTTTTGCTGTGGTATACTAGGCAAATGAAGGAAGTTGCTAGGTTGTATCTGCTTACAAAATCAAGATTTGAATATCTAGTACAAAAACAGGAAGCACATACCCTAGTAACTACAAATTTGGTCCTAACTCAATTTTGATAAAAAAGTGAGTTGCTAGGTTTTGCCTTTTGACAGGAGAATTAGTGACCCTTGACCTTTGTTACTTTTGAACGAGTCTTAAGCAAGGTTTTTTCAACTTTTGTCGCTCTTAAGTGATATTTTTGGTTTGATGACTTGGTTAGCTAGCTTTTGGTTTGATGACTTGGTTAGCTAGCTTTTGGTTTCATGACTTGGTTAGCTAGCTTTCTCTGCACTAATTAGTGCAAATTAATTAAGCTCTTAGGTAGCATTAGCACAACATTGTATGATCTTAAGTCATGTTTCTTAGTGTTAAGTATGAAACGTTTGCAAGAAAATTGTGGGTGGACATTGAATTTTAACTCCAGTTAAATATAGCAGGGTTAGGGGAAACTTTCCCAGGTATATGCACAGGTTACAAAACTTAAGACTTGGTTTTCCAAAATGATCTTGGGGTAAAATATGTGTTGTAGACCTCAATTATTTTGATTAAATCTCACTGGGCTCCTGGGTTAGTACCAAGTACACCATTTTGGGAGTTTACAAGCAATTTTTATCAAACGATAATTTGAAAGTAAACCATATGTATAGTTTCTCAGGTTAAAAATACACAAGTAAACGGTACACGATCTGCAGTCCACCTGTGGGTATTTTTCTTGTAAATCTGGTCTAATAATTTAATAAATAAGATGTTCTGTTCAAAATATTGTTGCGTGTTCTGTGCATACATCCATCTCTGTTAAATAAGGTGAAAACCCCAAAAGTAAGTTTCAAATTACAGCTGTTATGTGGCCGTATTTCCACGCATTGCATGCCTATCTTTTGACAAACATATAAATATCTTTTAATTTTACAGGGTAAACAGCTCTCCTTGAAAAAGATACCATTTGACATAAAACATCAAAACTCTTTATATGGACATATTTTTAATAATCGCTGTCAGTTTCCCAATGAATTAACATTTATTGGCAAAGATGTGAAGATGTATTCAAGATTTCCTACAAATATTCCGATAACCCAAGAATCACACTCCTCATTTACAGTAAGTTTAAATTTTATGTTAGCTATTTATATTTCAAATTCTTTGAAAAATGGTATATAATTGTGGTCCCTCTAGAGGTCAGCAATTACGTCTAGAGTTATGGCCCTTGTTACACTTAATTGATCCTTGTGAACGCTCTGACATCAAAAGTTATCATTCGATATTTCTGAAAATTATATGCATTATTTAAATTAGTGAGACAAAGAATCCTATTGAATTTCAGCAATTTCCGTTTATTACGTCTAGAGTTATTGCCCTTGTTTCACTTTATTGAACCTTTTGAATGCTCCAACGCCAAAAGTTATCACCCGATCTTTGTGAAATTTATGTGCATGATTTAAATTAGTGAAACGAAAAAGCCTATTGAATTTCAGCAATTTACAATAATTACTTCTAGAGTTATTGCCCTTGTTTCACTTTGTTAAACCTTGTTAATGCTTGATTGATGATAGTTATCATGTATGAAATTTATATGCATCATTTAAATTTGTGAAACAGGTCTATTGAATTTCAGCAATTTCCGTCAATAATTTATAGAGTTATGGCGATTGTGAACGTTTGAATGACAAAAGTGATCATGTGATCTGTATGAAATTTATTTGCATTATTTAAATTAGTAAAATGAAAAAGCCTGTCAAATTTCACCAATTTCTGTAGTTTACTTCCAGAGTTGAGACCCTTGTTTCAGTTTGTAGAACCTTGTAAACCTTCAAACGACAAAATTTATAATCTGATCTGTATGGAACTGTCTTGTAAAGGCCCCCAATTACCTGCAAAGGAATAAATATGCGACAACCCTTGATGACCGCTCGGACTATTTAGCTGCTGTGGGCGTATGTTTTGTTGCCTGGCAACCTATCTTAAAATTATTATAGTGAGAACTGCCAACTCGTTATCGAATCTCCCATAATGTATCTTTAATTAAGAAGTCAATCTACATGCTTGTCGGCTACAATAACAGTCATGGCCTTAATGCGAATCAGCCTTGTGGTTCATAATCTGAGTAGCCTAATTAGCACATTTAACGGTAATTTGGATAAAACAAGCTTGCTGATTATTCATAACAGATTCAGTAAGCTGCTTTTGTAAAAATATCTTCATTGGGTATAATCCCCTGATAGAACACTTAATACACTGAGAAACAGTCATTAATAATATATTTTCCCGATAGAATCTCCAATGCTGAATTCCAATAACACGTGACATATCGGTTGGAATTAGGTCAATAAACCAGTTTTAATAATGTTTACCGTTACGATTTTTATACGCCCACATTTTCATGTGGACGTATATTGTCGTCGCCCCTGTCCATCCATCCACAATTGTTTGTGGACACTCTACAGGTCACAATTTTTATCCGATTTCAACAAAACTTGAAATATAGGTTTATCTCCCTAAGATATCGGCTCCTTTCGATATTGGCATGTATCGGACCGTAACTTCATGGTAATGGCCCCTGATTGTACGAAAAATCACGTTTTTAGCATGTGGACCCTATAGAGGTCACAATTTTTATCTGATTTTGTTGAAATTTGAAATGTAAGGTTATAATCCAAAGATCTTAGTTCCTTTCGATATTTGCGCATATTGGACTATAACTTCATGAATTATGGCCCTTGACTGTACGAAAAATTACGTTTTTAGCTTGTGCTCCCTCCCTTATCCAATTTAAAAAAACATTTGAATATATCACCGTTGCACCCTAATGATGGTTGAGTTGAATTTCGTTAAAATCAGACCAAAACTGCCGGACAAAATGGCCGCCCCTCAAGATCTTGGTATGATATTTATATGCATCAATTAAATTTGTAAAGAATCCTATTGAATTTCAGCAATTTCAGTTTATTATGTCTAGAGTTATGGCCCTTGTTTCACTTTGTTGAACCTTGTGAAGGTTATCATCCAATCTGTATGAAATTGATATGCATCATTTCAATCTAATTAAAATACAGATCTATATTTCGTTTTGTTTGTTATACTTTCGATGGCCTACACTAGATCTAACAAGTTATAGTGGGGGTTCATGTCAGTGGTCAAACAAGCGACATGTGACCCTATAACGTCAGTCATTCGATTAACCAATCAGAATCGATGTTGCAAGTGGCGTCCGACAGCAAAATTGATTGTGCCTTGCAGGAAATTTTGGACGAAATAAAATTTTGCATCTACAATGTATAAGCTAACAATAGATATATGAATTCAAAATACACTTGACTGTAATTAAAAGCTGTCAAATTTCATTCTCATATAGAAAAATGGGTTTTGTCTGCAACTGCCAATGAACCAGATGGCCCCCCTACCCCCCCCCCCTCTTTTAAAATGGGGCTCACCTACGACAGTGTACATGTAATCATCGATAAAAGTGCCACACACACTTTCAATGTTCGAATCTTGTTTCTGATTAATAAATATTCTGATTTCTTTAAACAATTATAACAGATACTGTACATGTACTTGATCAAATCCAATACTAATTACATTTGATTTAACCGTCTTCATTAGCCCAGTTTAGGAGAAGAACATTAGAACGTCAAACCCCATTTCATTTCTTGATTCGAAAAATATTTTTGATCACCAAAGATAAATTAAATACAATTTAATGGAGGATTTACACTAAGAGTAAGACACTAACTCATTTAGTAGTTAAAATAAGGCTACCGGTATTTGTTTCACTGGACTTATCAAAACAGCAAAAGTGTTATTGGGGCTTTAAATAAAATAATAAAAATGCTATTTTTATTTCGCACGGGACTAAATTGTCCCTCTTTTGTGTGGCCCCCGCTCGAACATACTTGGATATTTTCTTGCAAATTATACAGATCTCTGATAAAACTGACTTCTTTAACTCTGATGAAGTAGTAACAAGTACTAGGCCTAGTAGTAGGGGTTATGGACATAAAGGCCCTAAACCAAAATGGCTCAAGTATTTGGTCATAACGGTCAAACGTTTTGGTCATAACTACATAACGGCCAAAACATTAGGTCATTATGGCCAAAAAGAACATTTGAATTTTGATATATTATGTATCAAATGATATTTATTAATATAAATATTGCATAATATAAATACCAATATTTCTTAATAGATAATATTTTCATATACATTTATTTAATACATAAATTTAAATTCACTGTAGACATTTATACTTAATACACTGTATAACTATAACATACATAATTTACAAAGACATCTATTTAATATGGAGGGTGGGTGGCAAATGGTTTAACATGTACACTTGAAATCATAAGGTCTGTCATTGCATCAAGTGACGTAGTTCAATTCTCTGCTTGTACGTGACAAGGACTAGGGTCATTTGTTCAACCTTGTAGGTTTTCTCCGAGTCCCCCAGTTTCCCCCTCTCTGCTACAGACCCTTACACGCAAGTGAATTATTTAAATAAAAAGGAACCATATGTTGGACCCTAAAATGACCTACTTTGTGTCGACTGGACATTAATAATTAGGGATTATCAAAAACTTTGATTAATTGGTATTCCCCTCTTTCCTTTGAATGTTATGCAATGTTCTGGGTTGACTTGGATGGTTATATTCAAAATTCTTTCATTCACAAATTTTTCTGGACTTATGGTCTGTAGCCTATATATGATGCACCTTTATTTCATTTATTACTTCTACTAGTTGGAATAGAAGTGGTCATATCTTGTTGAAGGTTTGGTGAAACCGTTTTTAAAAATATTATGTTATGAGTGAATTGTTATTTTTGTTGAATGATTAATATACTAATAGTAATAGTCAGTTGTTAAATAATGTTTGGTAAAATTCTGTATGTTGTGACAGTTTTAGTCGGTTGGACTGAATGTAGACGCTGCCTTCTCACTCTCTTTCTTTCTCGCATCTTTTATCTGTTTTGTTCTTAAAACATTTATAAAACATTGGGTGAAATCCAAAACCACTGCTGACTGTATCTTCAATATAATATCCTTCGTAATAAATCCATTTCCATCCAATTGAAACCAGTCTATAGCTACCTCACGACATTTGTCTCACCTTGGGTTTGTAAAGGGTTCTGAAACCTCCCCTATTAACACTGTCTAAGTGAACAATACAAGTTAATTGAGCCTTTGTCGTCATTTCGTGTAGCTTCTTCATGTATAACTGCAATGTGTTCCTCGTGAAGCACGTCATTTTGTGTTTACCAACAACACACGCGAATGTAGACAATAACGTGATTGGTCAATTGTGGAAAATACGATCACGTGACGCGGCGAACAACGCTGAATTCTGTCCAATGACAATAAATAGTCCGGATTTCAAAGACGAATATCACCGAAGAACTATGAAATATTTTGGAGAAAATTACAACAAACGAATATCTCTATATGAGCTATACACTGACAAAATTTCTTCTAGACCGGATTTGTAGGAACGAAAATATTTTTGCAACGACAATTTGTGCCCATGGAATGCGGCCTATTAATCCTGTGTAAAATACCATCAAAAAATAATCAAAAATAAAAAAGTTTTTTGTAAAAATTTTAAATGTTCAAGATTTCGTGCCTAATATAAGCGAGGCTTCGTCGAAAATAAAAAATCTGAAGTACCGTAGCTATTTGCCCTGTCTCCGGCTATGTCAAAATGTACTAAATGTTAAAATCCGCCCATTATTGTAAATATTACAGCAATATTTAAAAAAACGACAACTTCGGTGATTTCGGACGTTTCGCATTTTTGCCGAATGTTCGAAATAGATTTAATCTCTAAGTCATTTTGACTTTCCTGTAAAACCAAAGATATGGGATCGATTCAACAAGTATTTTCTGTGATATGCTCAAGTGGAGAATAATACGGCCAATGTGTTGGATGATTGTTTTTTTGGATGATTGTTTTTTTGGTATACCATATAAATATTTTAAAACTTGTATAAATCATTTCATTTATGGCCGCTGGCAACGGTCTTGGGATCTTGCAGGTACAAACAAACTTCATCACATTAAGCCTCTCTTAGGAGACTGGCCAAGCTCCTATATAACCAACAGGAGAGATGAAGTTGCCTTGTGTCGTTCTCGCATAGGTCATACTTTTTATACGCCCACATTGAAATGTGGTCGTATATTGTCGTCGCCCCCGTCCGTCGGTTCGTCCATCCACCCACAATTGCTTGTGGACGCTCTAGAGGCTAAAGTTAATATCCAATTGACTTTAAATTTATATACACTGTTTAAAGCCATGAGACAAAGAAGCCTATTGATTTTCAGCAATTTCAGATAATTACTGCCAGAGTTATGGCCCTTGATCACTTCAAAAAATCTTGTGGACGCTCTAAAGGCCAAAGTTAATATCCGATTGACTTTAAATTTATACACAGTGTTTAAGGTCATGAGGCGAAGAAGCCTATTGATTTTCAGCAATTTCCGATAATAACTTCCAGATATGGCCCTTGATCACTTCAAAAAATCTTGTGGACGCTCTAGAGGCTAAAGTTAATATCAGATTGACTTTAAATTTATACACAGTGTTTAAGGTCATGAGATGAAGAAGCCTATTGATTTTCAGCGATATCCGATAATTACTGCCAGAATTACGGCCCTTGATCACTTCAAAAAATCTTGTGGACGCCCTAGAGGCAAAAGTTAATATCTGATTGACTTTAAATTTATACAGTGTTTAAGGTCATGAAACGAAGAAGCCTATTGATTTTCAGCGATTTTCGATAATTACTGCCAGAGTTATTGCCCTTGATCACTTCAAAAAATCTTGTGGAGGCTGTAGAGGTCAAAGTTAATATCCAATTGACTTTAATTTTATACACAGTGTTTAAGGTCAAGAGACGAAGAAGCCTATTGATTTTCAGCAATTTCCGATAATTACAGCTAGAGTTATGGCCCTTGATCACTTCGAAAAATCTTGTGAACGCTCTAGAGGGTAAAGTTAATATCCGATTGACTTTAAATTTATACACAGTGTTTAAGGTCATGAGACGAAGAATCCTATTGATTTTCAGCAATTTCCGATTATTACAGCTAGAGTTATGGCCCTTGATCATTTCGAAAAATATTGTGGACGCTCTAGAGGGTAAAGTTAATATTGACTTTAAATTTATACACAGTGTTTAAGGTCATGAGACAAAGAATCCTATTGATTTTACGCGATTTCCAATAAATTTTTGCCAGAGTTATGGCCCTTGATCACTTTGAAAAATCTTGTGGACGCTCTAGAGGCTAAAGTTAATATCCGAATGATTTTAAATTTATACACAGTGTTAAAGGTCTTGAGACGAACAAGTATATTGATTTTCAATGAATCTTTATGACTTGAACAGCTAAATCCATGATGTTAAAAGTTTCGTATACTAAACGTTAGCATGGGGCAGAATTTTATAAAGACCGAACAAATTCTAATGGTTTTCTGATAATTACTTAATGAGTTGTTACTCTTAATCAGATTTTAATGTAGTATAAATGTTTCATTACCGAAAAAAGTAAAAATATGCGACAACTCTTGTTGAATGCCCGGACGATATAGCTGCTGTGGGCGTATGTTTCGTTGCCTGGCAGCCTATCTTTTAACTCATCTTAAAGCGAGAGCCTCAACCAGAATGTGAACACTGTCATGTTCCTTTGACAGTTAAGCACATTTTGATTGAGTGCAAGCATCTTAAGGATATTAGATCTAATCATTACCGTTGCCAGTCCTTATATCAATTATTTGCCCAACCAGGTCAATATTGTAGATTACTAGAATTTTTAAAAGAGACAAATTTTTTCACAAAATTTTAATTATATATTTGTAATTTTCATTTGTTGTATTTTAATTATATATAATACATAAAATGTTGTGATAATTGTTTTTAATTGATAATCTCTGTGATATTTGTTTTTATTTATGTATATAGATTACTATTGTGATTATTATTTAGTTTGTCTTGTATAAATCATCATATGTTTGGCGCAATGTAGCCCGGTTGGTGCTGACGTGCCATAAAACCACATTTCATTCATTCATTCATTCGCATTGTTTTAGTGTGCCGTTCTAAATTCCGTGGTACACTTAGGAAGATCTGTGCCGCGACACACTGGTTGAGAATCACGGAGCTATAGCATTTACTTTGATATTTTGGATAGCTTGTGTTGCCTTCTTTTAAACACTTGATAGGTTTCAGCAACAATTGGTAGGTTCTGCTAAGAATAGAAATTATAATAGTCTTTGAACTGCTCAGCTACGCTATGGTATTAGTTTTATAATAGAAACAAAATCTTATTACTTTTCAGACTGATGAAAATGCAGTTGTGAAAACCCAGAGTACTACTTCAAAATATTGTGATGAATCTGCCTGTCCTAATGTAATTCAACCAAAAGAATCACAAACTATAGAACAAACCGAGTCTAACCAGACTTTCAAGCATTGTAAGAGTTTTGAAGAAACCAATTTCCACAGTCTAACAGAGGTTAAGAGATATGAAAAAACTATTCCAGTTGTAACTGCTTCAGAGGAAACTTGTCTAAAGAAGTGCCACGCAAAGTTGGATGTTTATAATGATTCGGTCAAACACTTAGATATATGTTATTCATGCGAAATGAACACCTCTGGGTGTTTTACAGGATGTCGCAATTTTCATTGTGGTGCTGAAAATTGTACTCATTCTCTGGTGTGGCAAGATGGTCAATTACAATATTCTAACTTACCTCAAGAGGAGTTAAATATTAGCAAAGATTCTATTATGGATACCAGAGACTCTCTCGAAATATACACATCTGGTCAATTCACACAAGAAGAGACAGATTATATTCCTCACACTTCGGTTTTTTCACGGAGGAAGTCAATTGCCAATATTTCGCCATTGAACAGCCCATGTAAAGATGAAACAGAAAAGTCTATTTGTTTTAACATGACCTCACCAGCTCAAAAAGGTGGTGAGAATAATAGTGACTCTCTACTTCGTACGGCTCTAAGGAGGAGTTTTGAAAAAAAGGCCTCAGAAAAGAGTGACTTTCCAACTCCAAAACCCTGTAAAAGATTTACTCTACAATCCCAAAATAAGGAGACTGACTTTGATTCTGTTCAGCTTGATAGTGGTACAGTGGATCTTGAGAGCCATGTTAGCACTGTAGAGGAAGAACTGTCTAAAAGACCGCCACATTGTCGCCTCCCAGTTTCAGCTGATGTAAATATTGATATGGATTCAAGTGACTCTGAATCTGGTGTTCGTCCAAATAGTTTGCCACTAGAATCTTCTATGACATATATTAATATGTCTGGCACAGGTGCATTCAGTCTGGCTCGACGTCCACTGCCTCCCAGACCAAGAGACATTCATGAATGCAGTGTATCAAATATTTTCCATAGTTGCAGTATGGGTGATATGATAATGTTGAATCATGACGATGAATATAATTACATTAATAATGATGACCAAACTCAGATTTCTACATGTGAATCTATGGCTTCTAACGTGCAAGTTAAAAAAAGGCTTCAGAACCAACAAAAACCATTAGTGAAAAGTCATTCGATGACAGCTATTCAAGATTTAGCCAGTGTTCCAGGATGGTGTTCCAGTATTAATGAAGAAAATGTAAGTAAAAGTTTTATGTAGTTGATTTAATTTTCCAATACTGATCCAAGGCAACTGTTTAAAGATGCATTATGTGAGATTTAGACAAAGAGGTAAGAATTTTCGCTATAATAGTTTAAAACTAGATAATGAAAACTTAATATATATTGAAAATTTCAGTCAAATTACTTCTTTCTGAATGAAGTTATGGCTGTTTGGAGAATAGTTGAGTTTTGATTGTCATTGCTATCATCATTGTTAAGATAGTAAACAGAGTCTTGATTATTCACTTTTATAGGCCGACATGGAAATGTGGTCGTATATTCCCGTCACCCCGGTCCGTCGGTCCCCAATTTCTTGTACACACTCTACAGACTACATTTATCATCTGATTTTTTTTTTAAATTGATATATGTTGTTTACATTAGTGAGATGAAGAAGCCTATTTAATTTAACCATGGCCCTTGGTTCACTTTGTCCTTGTGAACTAGGCTGGTCCTTATTTGTGACCCTCCAGCACAAAACCGATCGGATGTCGCACGGCTCAATTTATAGAAACACGGCAAAATACACTATATGGGTCAAAACTACCGAAAAAATTTTTTTTATCACTAAACACTGCAAAAAAGCATCTTTTTTTCATTAAATGAATCGTTTTTGTGAAAATATAATAAAAAATGCATAAAAAAAGGAATTTTGTTGAGGCTGAGAAAAAAAAGAAACGTAATTCTTCTATTGCCAGTTGCATAAAATGAGCTTACTTTGCAGCACTTGTATTTTCCTTGCTTGCCGAATTACCTTGGCCATGTTTGCTGTGGAAATGTAGGATGATGAATCCTCTTTCTAAATATAATATCATATTTGAAGTCGGAGACTTTTGCACCAATCAAAGCAATCTTAATTAACCTGTGGAAAATAAACAAATTTGCTTGTTGCTAAACAAGGAGGAAATCCTCACAATTGATTGGTGGACCGAGCCTTGCGCATGCGTAAGTAACTCCCTTGTACTATTTCCAATCTTGTGTCGAGCAATCAAAGAAATGTCAGGGAAATGTCAAAATTCAGCCTATTTAATGTTTGATTATTTGGAATATGATACGTGAAGTAGTATATTGGGAATAGTGATTCTTATGAATCGCAGGGCGAATTAGACCCACCAAAAGCGACTTCGGTTTGTTCATGATGTCGAAGAATGAAGTTTTTATCTTTTGAGAATCAGTCCTATTATTTATTAGTTTATATTGTTACACCGGAGAATGACAAAAGTTGAATAGGAAAAAAGTTTCGAAATTCAGGTGAGTTAACAGTTAATTTCTTATCTTTGTAAAATACTTTTGATGTCATTTCCCCATGACTCTTTTGTATAGGCTTATTTCTTTTTTTTTTTTTTTTATAATATTTAACACAGTAGCCATGTAGCCCTACAGTATGATATTGATAAGATATTATTTATAGTGTTGATTCTTTAGGGGAATATCTCATTATGAAATGATAGGGATCATAAAGTTTGTCTACATCAGAGTCAGAGAACATATTGCTTGGAGATTTGCTGAGACACCAATAACCACAGCCTAGTTAAGTTTGAATCTGATATTTCCACCAGAGATTTACTTTTAAAACTTAAACTGTGATAAGGCATGTTCAATTGAATCGTAAGCACAGGAGGACCGCAGTATATGCAAACAAAACCAATAAGACAAAGCGATATACAAGCTACAAATATCAAATCAAGTGAATGATTCTGGGGCCAACCGTATGGCATATGTGTCTACTGCGCTGTACAGTCCAGGGCAAGTAATGATACAGACTTCACTCAAAATGAAAAAGAAAACAATGATTTACAAGAAAGATCCAATAGAAATGATGCTACTGTATCTTGACAGTGGTTGTTTCCTGAAGGCGTTTTTTGATGGTGAATATCAAAAAATTAACAATAATAAATGTAATAATTAGTGCTCCTACGGTTAGGACTTATAGTTATTCGAATAACCGTAGCTATTAACCAGTTAGTAACCGTTTAACTGCATAGTATCAATTTTAAACATAAAACAGAGCTTGTCGGGAGGTGCGAGTCATTAGTCGTGCGCACGCTATACTCGCCTAAAAGGCATTACACGCGCAAAAACTTCAGGAATTTTTTCATATAAATGTACATTTCTTTAATGAAAATTTAAACTATCAAAGGCCGTAGTTATTTGTTTACCTGGTTAACTTGGTTCATTTGAAACATTTTTTAATTCAATATATATCTACGATTATATACAAAACAGTACTCTGTTTGCCTTCGTACGTGACATATGGCGATAATATTACGATTACACAATGTTACTAAGAATAGAATAAAGTAAATTGGAAGTTGTCTATTGACTGGACAATAAAGAAATAATTCCTCGCTTGCAAATAGAATTTTTATGATTGGTTAATTTAACTAAAATCCAAAGTAGAATTCTCGCGAGAAATTACGAGATATGAAACGTGTTGAATGTAGTAACGAATCTACTATAATGTCATTTTCTAGCCTTTATGATTATATTTTGAATGGTGGTTACGTTTTTAAACAAGGTAGAATATAGTTAGAAATGCTGAAAAGTATTTAGATTGGATTAACAATAGCTGAAGTCAGAACCAGGTCCGTTGACTTTGCCTTATGACTACGACGAGTGCTATTAATAGTATTTTTTTCTTAGCAGTCGACATTGTAGGACGACTGTTACATTCTAAGTTTTGTTATAAAGAGGAATATAATTAGACACAACTCTATACAGGAGCAAAGCCCACCAAAGAGAACATTCTTCAGTGACATTGACACAGGGTATGTCTAAATAAGATGACGCCAATTTGTAATACTATAGGGGTTATTTTAGTTCTAAGAAAGGTGTTCTGTTTAATATAGAAGTTCTTTACCTACATGATGTGTGACGAAAACTAGGGTAATGAAGTAGCTTGCATTATTCTACTACTTTCTTAGACTAACTGACCGACAGTTATGTCAGTATTAAAATGATAACTGGATCATACATTGATGGATTCACTGACCAGTTGTTAGGTAAATTTCAATCTTCATTGAATATAATCCCCTGATAGAACACCAAATACACCGAGAAACAGTCATTTAATAATATATTTTCCTGATAGAATTCCAATGACACGTGACATATCGCTTCAAATTAGGTCAATAAACCAGTTCTAAATAGCGCTTACCGTTATGATTTTTTATTTATTTTATACACATTCTGACAAAGACTTAATTTTAAAAATATTGCTTTTATTGAAGGCTATATCATAATCGTTCGGAAATTTTATTTTAAAGCAGTTTCAAGTATGGTTGTCACGTGACAATTGTGCCGTACGTGTGTCTATCAATTGACGAATGAATTAAAACTTTTGCCAAGTTACGTGGCTAGTTAAATGATAGACAAAGACTACAAATTGTGTTATGAAGAAACGCCATGGTGCCGTATCAGCTTATTTTGTGTACGTACGGCATTTTCTGATACTGGCAATAGTTGAAAAATGCTAATATTTTAGATCATCGACTTATGAAAAGCGAATGTTTCATTGAATAAACGAAGACAGTAATTAATTTATTCTGGAATATTACTCGAACTTCAAGATGGTACATGAATTAAATATGGAAAATTTTCAAAAGGTGTACCTGTCGTTATTTTTGTGGTAATCACATACATTAAAATACGACATTCTCCACAACAAATTACCAAGAATTATTTTTGTTGAAGTCTAGTTATATTAAAGGGAATGGAGCTTATAATTAACCCATATCTTACGGGATCTCAATTGACCCAGTTCTGGCCGGTTTGTTTCAAAATGGATTAAGAACCCTGATGCTTACCCATCTCAAACATATTGAAACAGAATGTAGTTTGAGATTATTTTGGACATAATTCGTGATGTCATCATATCGCGATACGTATATCGCGTATCGGGTTGTCAATACGTATCGTATCGAAAATGAACTGTATCGACACAGCCCTAATTTCTAACGTTCTACGACAATGCGAAATGTCAAAAATCACCGAAGTTGTTTTTCGAAATTTTGCAGTAATGTTATCAATAATTATCGGATTTTGATATTTGATACATTTTGACGTAGCCGGAGACAAGGCACATAGCTACAGTTCCTTAGATTTTTTATTTTCAACGAATCTTCGGAGATATTACTATTAGGTGCCAAATTTTGAAAATTTAAATTTTTACAAAAACTTTTTTATTAATGAATATTTTTATGTGGTATTTTACCTAGGGTTAAAGAGTCATCTGATTTGACCAAAAATGGCAACATTTTTTGTCACCGTATTTTTCCTTGGCCCTCATTGGCTAATTTAGTTTTTCAGTCCTGGATTAATTATTTATTGTACGATTTGTAGAAAACAAAGTTCATATGCTCCGTGGTCCAAAATGTCATTTTTTTGTTACCAGTAAAGTTGCCTTTCGGCAACGGAAGTGACGTAAATTTAGCAAAAACTACAATTTTGACAGTTCAGTACCACTTTTTGAAAGCAAATATTATTTTTTTCAAATCTGGTATGATTGAAAGAGTGTGCCCTGTAAAGGCGCAGAAAACATCGGGCTCAGTTTTTTTAATTTCGATTTCGTTTTCGGGTCATTTTGATTTAAAGGTGAAAAAAGGTGAAAAAATGAGCTATTCACAACCCATTCAGGCGTTTCATATTTTAAAATATTTCTTCGCAACTTTCATAAACTTGTAGCAATAATCCATATGAAGAGAATGTATGTGAAAATTAGTTTGTAATATGAGCAGTTGTCGAGAAATGTCACCAGAAATTTTCGGCGCTATTGCACTTTCGTACCTCTACCAGTTCCTGTGGTCGTAGGAACTTGAAATTATTCGAGGATGTTACGGGGGACTAGCAATGACCACACACCAAATTTCAGCCGAATCGATCAATAACTTTTTATTTTACCGACCTTTTAATTTCTAACGAGAGAGAACTTTATCTGTTTGACGCCATTTGCTTTGTTTACTATTTAGACTCGAATAA